TATAATGGTATAACAGTGAGAAGAAAAAAGAGTAAATGATGAAGAACGATACGAAGAAAAAGCAAGAAAAATAAAGAGGAGAGCAAGAAGAATAACAAAGAAACGAAGAAAACGAAGAAGCGAGCAACGAGAAAAACAGAAAGAGAAAAATGAGCAAGAAGAAGGGAGACAAGAAGACCAAGAACAAGAAGAATAAGGCGAACAACAATTAGATTTAAACGGAAAAAAGTGTAAAAAGAAACGGATGGAAAAGAATATTTTTATGAAGGAAAAGAAGAAACGAAACAGCATGAACAGAGACGATCTGACATTGGAGAGAAACTACTGGTTCATGGAAAAAACTGCCTAAGACTTAAAACAGACGAGAAAGCGCAAAGCTGAGAAGATCCGTCAGGATTTAAACGATTCCATGTAATAATCACCACAAACAACGTCAAAAACAAAACAAAACAAAGAACATCGGCTCACGCAGAGCGGAAGAAGTAGCAGCAAACAGTTTCGACGAAACACGAAGCAGGGAACGAAGCGAAACAAGCCAGCGGTGTAACATACGGCAAAATAAGCACCACCTTCAAGGATTAGCGACGAGCCACAATGCAACCGGCGGAATCACTTGCCTATAGTTTGTGGAGCGAGAGATGGCCGTCGGTCGGTGGTCGACGACCGACAACGCTGCCAGCAGTTTCACAAAGCAACGCATACGGTGCCGAACGTTTAGCCGTTGACATCCCCCCTCTCTTTCAATGGCGCCGCGACAAGAAAGCCAAGTCGGATCTATCGGACCGGACCGGTCAGTCGTTGGTCAATACCACGCGTGGCCCGACCGTCAGTCTGCCGTCGGACAAGACCTACAGGAAACAGATGTACCCAAATCCATCGCTGACGAGGACGACAATCGGGCATTACGCGATTACGTACGCCCACGGCTTACGTTTACGTAAGTGAAACCAGTTCAACTCAGTCAGATTTGCTATCGCCGGCGAAGACAGACACAGTGCGTATATAATTGAAGATCACCGACGCTTGCACAGCAATATACACGCGAATGTATGTCATACGCACGTGTCGAGATGCAGTTCCTTAATCCGAACGATCGAGGAGCGCAAACAACAACTGCCAACAAGAGACGACCCTCCTCCTCGTTATGGTCGGTCATTTGATGAATGACGTCGCGGCGAGTCACCTACACATTTCTCCATGCCGAGGTGTTTCACTCAACTACTCACTCCCTCAATCAATCACTCAGTTGCTTACGCCACCAGCAATAGTAGTCTTAGTGGCCAGCAAATACAAGAAGCCTACATTCATGTCGACCTACCACTAAACCAAGGATAACGACAAAGACGACTATGACGACGACGTCGATGACGAGAATCAACGAATCTGAGAATCCAGTTCACCATCTATCGATCTCATCTATCGATCGGTGGCGTGAAATGAGTTTTTCGCCTCGCAATGCAAACTTCGTTCTAGCCGTCGAAAGGTCTACGAGATCGTGCATCTCGTAAAGAAGATGTGTGTGGCTCTGTGACTACGGTATTTGAAAAAACAATGACCGAAAAGAAGAGCACGGCGATATGAGCTTAATTTTCAACTATCGGAAGAGACCGCCTCTTTCAAATATCCCTGTATATCTTAATCTTGTATTCCGAAGTTCGGTACACACTTTGATGAGGAAGTCGGTGATTTTAGCGATACCTTCTATGGAGTACTCTTCCGAAGACCACCGAAAATACGTCAATTTTAACAGAGGTTTTAGAATGGCTGTCCTCATTGTATCATTAAAAAGCCCCAGCCCCACGGACGTAACCTAAGCTCAGTATTGTGCTTTCAGAACTGTCCCGGGGATACGGCGTCGAACTGACAATCGATAGGTCCTGAATTCCAGCTTCGGAGACGCTGGTCGACTTTCATGCTTTCGAAATAAATTAACGACTACCACTTTACGGGAAAGAAGCACGAAACAAGAAGCTATGGTGGTCATCTACCCTCAAAATTACAACAAAGAGGCACTTCTGGGAAATGATACAAAACGGAACATGAACGCCGCAGCATGAAGTTCATGAAAGAATGGTGCCACCGGACTCTTATTAAAAAAATACAACGGATACAGAACCATTCTAACGGTTACAAACTTTTCTCGGCATTCCTTCGTATTTTGACAGCTCAACGGTTCCTCCACTCGTATTTAAACAGAGTCATTATTACAAGCAGGATTGAGAAGGCTTCAGTAAAAATTTTAAAACTTAATCCTCGTTTCGAAAATGCTCTCCATAAGTGCCCTGGGTCCTGGTAGTTCAGTCGACAGAACGTCACACTCAGGGATAAAGAATTTGCGTACAGATTAATATATCCGGTGGAAATAATTAATCTTTCTTTCTTTCGAGATACATAAGCCAGCACCAGTGAATGGGCAAGAAAAGGGAGAATACACACTGCAGATTATGCCAGTAATAAACAGGGCATCCCTGGCTGATGGCGTCTTGATGAAGGTCTCAGCGCCCGTTTCAAATGCTCAATAAAAAACGACGTAACAGCGCATGAAAGTTTATGGACCAACGACTATCCAACGCTTTCGCCTTCCCCATGTTCATTCACTCGACATCAACTGCACTGGATAAAGCCATATTAATTAGTCAACAGGAGAAAGAGAAACATTGAAGTTAAATTTTTAACGATGCGAGATCAGCGTCTGGACCCCAAGTCGAGAAACAGCAGCAGAAAAGGGAAAATTCGCCGCATCTCGTTATTGCCGGGGTCAAAGACGGAAGAAAGTCAACGGTCATTACTGCAAGCACTGCTCCAGAACTCGACCCCTAAGATGCGCTTGGGTCGCCATGGAACGTTGTTAAGTCATTCTGATACGGTGTACACACGTTTAGACTACCGGAAAACACAATTCAGCCTAGTGTACTTTCAGCTGTTTTGACTGGAAAGCCAGGCATTCTCATTGGCACGTCTACGCACTCTTTGCGGTATTTAACTGAATTCAAATCAGTTTGTTAAAGTGGTTCAAACGGGACACGGCCAGACACCCAACTCGAACAGAGACAAAATAAAGGTAAAAAATACAGATAAAACACTGAAACTTTACACAAAGCAGCAACAAGCTGAAAACTG